CTCTTGTCTTCTCTCTCATATAAAGATATAATTATTTGTTTTTGTCTCTTTGTTTAGTAGTGGGTTTTTTCTCTTCCCCCCTCTCCAGAGTTAAAGGTATTCACCACCTTGTTTTGTTACAACAGATACAAGAAGACTGACTGACTTGCAAAATTTGCATAAATTGCCTTAGAGGCTTTAATATTTAGAGTTGCTTTCATAGTTTTATACTTACTTTGTATACGGTTTTTTACCTTGTTTTAAGTTTTGAAGACTACGATACAAAACTGTTACTGTTCTCTTATTATCAGATTATTAATGAGAAGTTAAGTACCATGTTTCAGCTACACTGGTATTTACAGTATTTGTTTTTAATGAATAAATTACAATGATATTACTCTGAAGGTACTTCATGACTATTGTATCCCTCCATATCTTTGCCATATACTACTGTATGTTTTATTGTAACAAATAAATTTGGTGGTGATGGGGGACTTGAACTATACAGACATATGTTGGGAAACTATCACAGCAGAGCACAGATTATTCAATAAATTCTGGACTACATTGGAGATTTTATTTCAGACGATTGAGAGCTACTGGGGGGAAGCTGTTCTAGATTTGATTTTAACAAATAGGGAGGAACTAGTTGAAAATTTGAAAATGTAAGGCAGCTTGGGTGAAAGTGATCATAGAATCAAGAACTCTGATTTCAAGGAACGGTGGAAGGAAGAACAGCAAAATAGAGACAATGGATTTCAGGAGGCAAATTTTAGTAAACTGAGAGGAGATCTGATAGGTAAGATCCCATGGGAAGGATAACAACTTTTGATCCCATGGGAAGGAAGACCAAAAGGAAAAAGGAAGAGAGTTGGCAGTTTTTCAAAGGGACATTATTAAGGGCCTAAAAGCAAACGATTCTGCTGCATAGGAAAGATAGAAAGTATGGCAAGAGACCACCTTGGCTTAACCAGTAGATCTTACATGATCTGTTAATCTAAAAGAAGTATTGTAAAAAGTGGAAACTAGGTCAAATTACAAAGGATGAATATAAGCAAATAATGCTAATATGCAGGGGCAAGATTAAAAAGGCAAAGACACAAAACAAGCTCAATCTAGTTAGAGACACAGAAGGTAACAAGAAGATATTCTACAAACATATTAAAGCAAGAGGAAGACCAAGAACAGGGAAATACAACCCTGATGGGGCTACTATAAGGTAGGGATGCAAGTGACTAGTCAAATGGGAGTGCTGGGAGGACCAGTAAAGAGGGAGAAACACTGACAGGAAACTTGGAAATGGCAGATGTGCTTAATGACTTCTTTGTTTTGGTTTTCATCAAGAAGACTGATGGTGACCGGATGCCTAATATAGTGAATGTTAGCAGAAATGGGGTAGGTTTAGAAGTTAAAATTAAAAAAATAGAACAGGTAAAAAATTACTAACAAAAGTTGGATGTCTTCAAGTCACCAGAGCCTGATTAAATGCATCCTAGAATACTCAAGGAGGTATCTGAACCTTTAGCGATCATCTTTGAAAAGTCACGGGAGAGATTCCAGAAGACAGGAAAAGGACAAACATAGTGTCCATCTATAAAAAGGGAAATGAGAACAACCCAGGAAACTACAGACCAGTCAGTTTAATATCTGTGCTAGGAAAGATAATGGAGCAAGTAATGAAGGAATTCATCTGCAAACATCTGGAAGATAATAAGGAGATAGGTAATGGCCAGTATGGATTTGTCAAGAACAAATGTCAAACCAATCTAATAACTTTCTTTGATAGGATAACAACTTTTGTGGATAAAGGAGAAGCAGTGGATATTGTATGCCTAGACTTCAGTAAAACATTTCATACGGTCTCGCATGACCTTCTTATCAATAAATTAGGGAAATACAACCCTGATGGGCTACTAATAAGGTAGGGATGCAAGTGACTAATCGACTAGTCAACTGGGGGTGCTGGGAGGAGCCGGCTTAAAAGCCAGTTCCCCCCAGCTCTAGCTCTGTGGGAGGAGATGGGTGAAGCGGCGGCCAACTTTGAAATGTACAAGAGTCCCCAGTGGGGACTTTCTGTAGCGGTCTGTTTTGGGACCAGTTCTGTTCAATATCTTCATCAACGATTTAGATGTTAGCGTGAAGAGTATGCTTATTTAGTTGGCAGATATACCAAGCTGGAAGAGGTGACAAGTGCTTAGGAAGATAGGGTCATAATTCAGAATGATCTGGAGAAATAGTCTGAGGTAAATAGGATGAAGTTCAATAAGGACAAATGCAAAGTATTTTAAGGAACAATGAGTTTCATGCACAGAATGGAAAGCAACTGTCTAGAAGGGGAGTACTGCAGAAAGGCTCTAGGGATCAGAATGGACTATAAAAGTTAAACATGAGTCAACAGTGTGACATTTGTCGAAAAATAAGATTCTGGGATGCATTACAGGAGTGTTGTGAGCAAGACACAAGAAGTCATTCTTCTGCTCTACTCCATTATGATTAGGCCACAGTTGGAGTATTGTGTCCAGTTCTGGGCACCACATTTCAAGAAAGGTGTAGATAAATTGGAGAAGGTCCAGAGAAGAGCAACAAAAATGATATAGGTCTAGAAAACATGAGATATGAAGGAAGATTGAAAAGAATTTGGCTCATTTAGTTTGGAAAAGAGAAGACTGAAAGGGGACATGATAGCTGTTTTCAAATATCTAAAAGGATGTAATGAGGAAGAAAAATTCTCCTTGGCCTTTGAGGAAGAAAAATTATTCTTGGCCTTTGAGGATTAGACAATAAGCAATGGGCTTAAATTGCAGCAACGAAGGCTTAGGTTGGACATAAGGAAAAACTTCCTAACTGTCAAGGCGGTTAAACACTGGAATAAATTGCCTAGGAAAGTTGTGGAATCTCCATCACTGGAGATATTTAAGAGCAGGTTGGATAGATATCTATCAGGGATGATCTAGAGAGTGCTTGGTCCTGCTGTGAGGGCAGGGGACTGGACTTGATGACCTCTTGAGGTCCCTTCCAGTTCTAGTATTCTATGATTCTATGAAAATAAATTTGTCGTCTTGAATTAAAGTCATGTTGTTTTTTATTGTACTTTTCCTATAGGAAGATATAAAATCATTAACAGCTCATGTAATAGAGAATTACTGGAAAGCACTGGAAGATGTAGATTATGTGCAAACATTTAAAGGATTGAAACTACGATTTGAACAACAAAGGGAAAGACAAGATAATCCCAAACTTGACAGGTAAATGTCTATGTAAATCTATTCATTAATACTTTGGTGCTAAATTGTCTTTTAGGATACAGTCATGTGTATTTCTGTTCCCCATCAGGAGCCATTAATAATTCAGATCCTTCGCTGTTTGCAGCTCAGGTCTTGCTGAACAGATGTGGTTGACAGTGTGATTTCCAGATCTGTGTTGCTCAAACACCTAGCCAGGGTTCAACAGATATGTCTTAAGTCTGCATCTAAATTTAAGTGTGTGGAAGAGTATAATAAATGCAGAGGATTTCTCTATTCTAACTTAAATTATCCTAACTGGAGCTAAAAATATTTGAAGCTCATTCTCTAAAAAATAAGATTCTCAAAAGTATTTTAAAGATTATTTTATTCTGGATTATCACTGACTTTTTTTTCTTAAATCATATATATATAAACCATTTTTGGTTCAGTAACACCCTTTTAGATATTTGAAAACAGCTATCATGTCAGCAAAGAATCAGGATTACAGCATATCTGTTTTAAAATGACAGATTTTTTTAATAGAACTATCATGATTTTTATTGCTTATACAATAAAAACACGGTACAATACACAGTTTTTATTGCTTGTACATTAATGCTTATATTTCAGATTGAGAGTCTGAGTTATTACTTATACATTGCGTTAAATATTATTAATCTGAATTGTTAGTATCCAATGCCTAGTAAATTGGCATTTCAGTATATGAAAATGCAAACTCTAGAGCTTTTATATTAGCACTAAAAGACTTACCCATTGCTGCCCAGGTCCTTCAGGGAAGGAGACTAGCAGAGTGGGGGGTAGGGATGCAGAAGTCAGGGCAGGGCCTGGGGATGGAGGGTTGTAGGATTCAGGGTGAGGGGTTGAGGGACTCAGGGCAGAAGGCGAGGCATGTGAAGGGACTTAAGTGGCGGGGGGGGCTTTTCTCTCTGCCTCCACTTCCTGGCCAGCCAGGGTCCTTTCTCTTGCTTCTCTGATCCTAACTTTGACTAAGGTCAGGGTTTGGTTGTGCCAGGAAAAATAGGAAGTCCTTCGCATAAGTGCGGGATGGGGGGGGGGATGCATGCGTGCTTGCTTGCTTGTTGCCTGAAAGAAACAGTGTGCTGAGCTTGTGTCTGTTTGTCTGAACAGTTATTCCCAGTTTTAAAGGCACCACATAGTCTCTACTTAATTTATTGATTTAATCTGATTTAGAAATGCATTGCCCTTTGTTAAAAATATAAACAAAAATCTCTCTTTGCCCCTTTATGGAAATAGCCCAACACAGAAGAAATTTTTCTTTCCTATTCAGTTGGGAGAAAAACAGAACACTTAAGAGCTAGATTGTCCTTTACATTTAGCAAGTGATAGGGGATAGCGCACAGTTGTTCTGCCTGAGAGCAGCACAAGGAAAGAATTATGGCCCAGAGAGAAACAGTTGGCTCAACTTTTCTCCTCCTGTGTTTGTAGTGAATACGGAGGCAAGCTTCCCACTCGGAGGCAGCATGGGAGAGTGTCTTGCTCTCATTTACATTCCTTTATAGCCTCATAAGCCAAGCCCTAAATGAAGCATGCAAAAATTCCAAAGATTTGATTACCCAGTTTAGTACATGAAATACTTTGGTTGATAGAGAAGACCACAGTATTGCCCATTGGAAGTGTTCAAATCTAGTGAGTCAAGCCACCAAAGACATGAGCTAACTTCTGTAAGCTACACACCTGTGAGGTGTCTCAGCTATTTTCTGAGATCTGCTCTGTAGTTGAAAGCTCCTGTGCAGGCAGGGAGCTCAGCTGACCGGTGGGGCATCTTGCTAAGCAGCACCTAAACAGAGCTGTTCTGTGCTTGAAACTTGAGCAGCTCCCAGAGCAGGTAAAGAAAGGAGATGAGAGAATAAGTGGCTGGTAGGAGTGATGGGGGAGGAGGAGAAAGGGAAGGGAGTAATTGGCTGAGGAGGAGTCAGAGGGGAGGGGAGTTTGGAGAGTCCTGTCTGTACGAAGAGAGAGAAGCAGAAACTCAGAGCACTCAAGCCTCCTGGGAAGGGGGAGATATAAGGGGCTGACTCTGAGGTAGGTGGGGGAAAGAGGGAGGGGGGTGGGTGCTGGCATCTGTGCAGTGAGGTGGAGGAAGGAGTGTCCTTGATTGGCTTGCTGCAGTCCTCTGGCTGGCTGGGATGTAGGGGGGAGAGGGAGAACAGGCTGCATGGTATGTGTGCGGGCCAGGAGGATATTTGCATGATTACATTTCAAACAAAGTTTACATAGGTGTTAATGGCTTAAGACAAGATAGAAAAAAAAATTTAACAGAATTTTTTTGGAGTGTTGCAGACATCTAAAACTGATCTTCATGATTTTTTTTTTAAATCTTGTTAAATTACTATATGGTATATTTTGTTTCATTACGGCCAGATGTTTGCTATGTGATAGAGTTTCTGGTTCTTGTGAGTCAGAAATAGCAAGTACTAAGTGTGATGCTAGTTGTTTTCTAAGATGACACTTTATTTGCAAGCTCTTTGGAACATGCATCTGTCTACAAACTAAGGATGCTAACTAACAAGTGATTTACTAGTCAGGTATTCAATGGAATTTCCATCAACTAGTCGATAGGCACTTCCACATTCCTCCTTTGAAATGCACAAGAGCCAACATTGGGGCGTTTGTACATTTCAAAGGAGGAATGCGGAACTGCACATGCAGTTCAGGGCCAGCGGGAAGTCCCGCTGACTCCAGGCTCCACGAGGGCGCTTACCCTTTGAAATGCACAACAGCCCTTGTGGGCTCTTCCACATTTCAAAGCGGAAGCACCCACATGGAGCCCAGAGTCAGCAAGACTTCCCGCTGGCCCCAGGTTGCACGTGGCCTGTCAGCTTTGAAATGTACAAAAGTCCCCAGCGAAGGCTCTTGTGGGGAAGCGCCCTCATGGAGCCAAGGGTGAGTGAGGGACTCCCCTGCTGACCCTGGGCTCCATGATGCACTGCCACTTTGAAATGCCATGCGGAGCCCAGAGTTAGCTGAAGATTTCCCAGCTGACACTGGGCTGCACGCAGCATTTTCTGGAACCTGGGATCAGCTGGGGACTCCCCAGTTGACCTCAGACTCCACACAGCATTTCTGCAGAATGCGGGATCAGCTGAGGACTCCCCAGCTGACCCCGGGCTCTGTGCGCTTTGAAATGCCGTGCGGTGTCTGCCCCAGCTGAATCCGGATTCCACAGAAATGCCGCAGGAGTCCCTAGCTGGCACCGGGCTCCACGCAGCACTGCCACTTTGAAATGCGAGACTGCGCCATGGGGCAGTGCCACACAGATATGAGGATCAGCTGTGCAGTGCTGCCCCATTGAAATGCAGCCACAGCCTTTTGAAGCGGCCGCAATGCGTGGAGCCCAATATTCTTCCTGTCCCTCCCCCCCACCCTCTTTGCTTTCTTTATATGATTTGCATTTGCTTATTGGATAGTCGACTAATCCTCAACATCCTTACTACAAACCTGAAGCCATGTGTTAATTTGTTCTGGGGCTTCTAATCTTTGAGTTTTCTTGCCTCTAAGGTGCTGCAGGACCATTGGTTGTTTAAGATTTTTTCAGTTACAGACTGACACAGCTACCCCTCTCAGTCTTTGAGTTTGTGACACACAAGGTGAAAGTTTCAAACCAGGAGAACTTTATCTGTTTTTACAGCATGGATCCTAAACATTCCCCAGAGAAACTGTATAAGCCTTAATGAATGCCTTTTACTCTCCTTTCTAGTGTCAGTAAATATTGTATTAGCTATCGTTTCAACTAGAAATAGCATTTGCCTCACAGATTTGTTTAGCATCTTAAAACTGAGCTATGTGTGGATAATATGCATTTTGGCATGTTTACTATCTTGAATTGTTAGAAAGGATAAAGATACATGCACTCCAAGGGTAGTGTTAATTTTCTTTTTATTTTATTTCATATTAAATATTGCAAGAATTGCTCCTTGTTAACAATCTTTTGTTTTAATATATTCCACATGTATGTACTGCTTTTTACGTGTGTGTGTGTGTGTGTGTGTGTGTGTTTTATTTGTATTGGTGGTGCACATCTATATACTGCCTCAATATTGGTGTTGCAAATTTTAACCCACCCCAAAAAAATTCAGCCTGCCCAAAGATAGAAAAACTTGGAACACTGGACATGAGTTGTTGAAAACAAAATGTTTTGGATTCTTATTGGCCTCCTGATTTGGTGTAGGTTTCACATTTTAAAAGATTTTTCTCTGCACTTTAGAGTAAAAACTTTTTTTTTTTAAGTGAAAGATGAGAATCTTTTGTGATTGCCTGACTTGAGAAACTGGATTTTAAAAATATATATATATTGTCAGATTCATAATAAAATTGAGTTGACAATGACACCTTGTTCTATTAATATAATATTTTCATCTGTCAGTGTAATTGCACTATAAGAAGACATGAGTCATAGTTTTAAAATGTCCTTTGTTTATTTTAGCGATTATAGATTGATATTCTGACAATACTCCATAATTTACTAGTACTGTTAATAATTTTGTTTAAAAATATAAAGGCTATTCTTATTAAGATTTACAGTCCCTTTGGAGAGAGTGGTGAAGTGTGTGTGAATGCGCTTATTAGTAAGGTTTTACTTTTCTACGCTACAACCTTTTCATTTGTTGCATTGCTTTATGTAGTCCATGTAAAGTAAATAAAGATACAAGTTGCAGGATGACTTTTTAAAAAAAATAAAATACTGATCTTTTTGACAATATTTTTGTCTATAAAGTTATGCCATCCTGGCTTATTCCAATATTTATGTAAACTTAAGTGATACTTGTATCTCACAAGCCTTAAAAACTGTTTGTTCCACAGCATGCGTAGCATCTTGAGAAACCATAGATACCGGAGAGATGCAAGAACCCTAGAGGATGAGGAGGAAATGTGGTTTAATAGTGATGAAGATGATATGGAGGATGGTGAAGCAGTTGTGCCCCCCTCTGACAAAACTAAAAATGAAGATGACATTATGGACCCTATCAGTAAATTCATGGAAAGGAAAAAATGTAAGTGACAGGAAGGGGAATGGTCATGTATCTTGTTTAAATGAAGGGTATTTTCATATAAAACTTTATTGTTTTAGAATTTGATACATGCAACTAAATTCAAACCATGTTTATTTTGAACTATTTTAAAGGCATAAAACTGCAAAAATCATGTTCTTAATGAATTTGCTGCATCTTTTTAAAGCACTGAAATGAAAAAAATGTTCATAGCTTTATAATTAAGTTGTCAATGCACTGTTTGCTTAATTTATATCTAGTTGGTTTGGTTTGTACATTCAGCAAATAGCAAAAGTATATTCATTTTTCTCCTTCCATCAAGATACAAGTGAAGTTAGAGATGCAACTTCTGTAGCAAAATAATAAACATTTTATAACTCCTCCCAATGACTTCTGTCAATAAATGTATCCACTCAAAAGTATATTTCTTTCTACAGTGAAAGAGAGTGAAGAAAAGGAGGTTCTTCTAAAAACTAATCTTTCTGGTCGTCAGAGCCCAAGTTTCAAACTTTCCTTCTCCAGTGGTACAAAAACTAACCTTACCAGCCAGTCATCTGCAAGTAACTTGTCTGGCTCTCCAGGATCGCCAGGATCTCCAGGGTCACCAGGATCACCCGGATCAGTTTCTAAAAGCACATCTCAGATGGCAGCTATTACTACCAAGGTATTTTTCAACTTCAATTGGTCAAATTTTTGTTCTTGTTGTAGCTGCAGCAAATTTAGAGCCATTCTGATCACTTACATAAATCTAAGTTATTTACAGTAGTTTAAGCATGAGTTCATCGTAGGGATGTTAAATTTAGATTAATTGGCTAGTTGATGCAATTTGCATCGACTATTCAATTAGTCTATAAGGGCACCTCCGCTTTCAAAAGCCAAAGCACTATTAGGAGCACAGGGTCAGCGGGGGACTCAAGCAGTCCCCTACTAGCCCCGGGCTCCTCACAGTATTTCAAAGCGGCAAGGCTGCATGGAGCCCAAGGTCCCCCGCTGACCTCAGGTTCCACACAGCCCCAGGCTGCACGCAGCATTTCAAAGTGGCAGTGCCATGTGGAGCCCAGGGTATGGCCCCAGGCTCCACGTGGTGCTGACACTTTGAAAGCACCTTCTCCTCCCCCGCCCCCACCCCCGGACTCTTTCTGATAGGCAACAAAGTGCGGGGTGGGGGAGAAACTAGTCGACTAGTGTGTCGAGTTTCCAATAAGCAAATGCTTATTGGATAGTCAACTAGTCATTCACATCCCTAGTTCATTGTGGTAGAGTCTAAGGATGGGAGCAGGAGCCGGTGCTTCAGGGTACGGTTTGAGCATCACTGCAAGCAAAGGATGTTAAATTGCATTTAATCGATTAATCAGTGGCATTTCCATCGATTAGTCTAAGTGGGGAAACTGCAGCAGGGTTAGCTCTCAGTCCTGGAAGCTAACCTCTCTGTGGACTCTGCCTTTGAAATGTATTAAGAATCAGCTGGCTCACGCCTAGCCTGGATAGCTCGTGCTTGGTCCCTCCCGCCATGCTTCAGTCTTTTAAATGTATTAAGAGCCTGCTGTCTCTTAATACTTTTAAAAGGCAGAGCCGCAGTGGGGTTAGCTCTCAGGGTCGGGAGCTAACCCCTCTGTGGCTCCCCCGCTTATCGACTAATGACTAGCCAATGGAAAATCCATCTACTAGTTGATCAGTTGATTAAATTTAACATCCCTTGTAGAATCCTTTGCACATTTTCCTGGTCTCTAGTACTTTGGAAGAGCTTTGACCTAATATAAACAAAAGGAGTATTTAAATCAGTTTTCATGAACAAACTTGTTCACAATTAAAACAAAAAAATACAAAGTATTTATTGTATATATTCTCCACTTCAGAGGCAACATGTGAGGTAGGGATGTAAAGGGGGCCCAGCAAGAGGGGTGAGGAGGCAGTCAGCAGGGACAGAGCCTCTGGGTGGCCTGGAGGCTAGGTGGGAAGCGGGGCAGTTGCTGACACCCGCAGTAGGGGTCCTTTTTCTCCCTCCCCCTACACTCACCCGCAGTGGCACGGGAAGCAGAACAACATGGCCCTAGCTCATTCCACTTGCCCAGTGCATCGCTCAGTGGAGGGACAGGACGACCCCTGCACTACTGGTGGGAACCAGAGTGGTGTGACTGGGGGAGCAGAGTGAGCTGAGGTCATGTTATTCAGCTTCTCCTGCCGGTCCCAGGGTATGTGGACCTGTGCTGGGGACCCCCAGCCCTGATAGTGCCCCTAGCCACGCTAGTTGGGGGAAGAAGTGGGGTTTTGATTCCATAGGGAAACTGGATGGGTAAAAATAATTTGCTGTTGAAAGAGTTAATGGAACTATTTCCTAATTTTGCTGCACACCACCATATGTCCCTAGTAGCAATTCTTATAGCGGTATCAAGAATCCTACAGCTATTTTATTAGCTGTGGCCATATGCTCTTGGAGACAGTTGCTGTATGCCACAACACGTGATTATTAAATCTTGCTTGGGAAGAAATTTGGCTTTTTTTCACTTGGCTGTTTTCAGGTGGGGAACACTAAAATAAAAAATGTATTAAAAAGGATTATCAGAGAAAAGGAGCATATTAAAACTCCAGCACTGTATTTGTAAATGTATTTAATTATATTTTGTCCTAAAATTATATTTAACAGTAGTTGTGTATTATTGAGCTTGGTTTTCACGTATAGAGACTAGAATTTCATGGTAACATAAAACTGCTAAGAAAACCTACACTAGTACTGAATTCTTCCATTTTTGAAAAGTCGCTTGGATCTTTCTGTAATCTTTTTTTCTCCCAAAAACCTGGAAATGAGACCACTTCATTTTTAAAAGCCTGGCTGCTTTTTCTTCACCTCCATATCTCATTTTTGTTCTCTTAGTAAAAGTTTTCTTCTACCATTCCTAGCACACCTGCAAGAGAAAAGCCTGGTTGGGAAGAGAACTAATGTGAGATTCCCGTAGAAATGTGTACTTCAGATTCTTCTGTAGGTGGCAGATTTGTCCCACCAGTGGAAGGAGCAATAGGTCAGGCATTCATATAATTTAGCTTGGTCTCCAGGAAATTCCCTGTCCTGTGGAGGTTTTTGTACCCTCACCAGCTTGTGGTAGCCTTGCTGCTCATCCTAGCAGCAAAGCAGAGTTAGAGCTCCGACATCTTTTTATGATGATCCTTATATTAGGTGTTCTTCAGGACAGAGGGAATCCCACTAAAACATAAATATGGGAGGAACTCTACCCCAGTGCAATCATAAATCACCATGCAGAGGAATATGAGAGTGTGGGATGTTGCAACAGAGGAAGCTTTTCTGTTCTAGAATGACAGGAAACTCCTCTTACATGTAGGAAACTCCTCTTACAATCCCTCTTCCTCCATGTCAGACCTCCCAAGCAATCAATCTAGCTGTAGGTATAGTTTTGCATGTTGAATTGTTAGACTGTGGTAAATGTCAGCTGGCCCCGAGTTACGCGGATCCGACTTTATGTCAGATCTGCACTTACGAACGGGGCTTTTCTCGCCCCGGAGCTCGCGGGCGGCGGGACCGCCCAGAGCGCAGCAGTCCCGCCACCGCATCCTCCGGGGCGAGAAAAGCTGCTCCGGGTCTCCCTGGTGTGCTGGGGGGAACTCCCCAGCACAGCAGGGAGACCTGAGCAAAGCCGCACAGGCGGCGGGATCCTGCTGCCCACGCGGCTTTGCTCCTTTGCCCCGGAGAAAAGCCGCACAGGCGGCGGGGTCCCCCGCCTCTGCGGCTTTGCTCCCGTCTCCCTGCTGTGCATTAGCTGTGCACAGCAGGGAGACAGGAGCAAAGCCGCAGAGGCAGGGGGGCGCCGCCCCCGCCAGGGAGACCCGGAGCAGCTTTTCTCGCCCCGGAGTATGCGGTGGTGGGACCGGGGCGC